GTGTGTGTCTGGTAGAGAGTGAGAGTGAGTGAGTGAGTGAGTGAGTGAGTGAGTGAGTGAGTGAGTGTCTGTCTGTCTGTCTGTCTGTCTGTCTGTCTGTCTGTCTGTCTGTCTGTCTGTCTGTCTGTCAGTCAGTCAGTCAGTCAGTCAGTCAGTCAGACAGTCAGTCAGACAGTCAGTCAGTCAGTCAGTCAGTCAGTCAGTCAGTCAGTCTGTGTGTGTCTGTCAGTCTGTCTCTGTCGGTCTGTCTGAGTGTGTGTGTGTCTGTCTATCTTTCTTTTTTTTGTGTGTTTTACTTTGTATGAGCAAATATTGATGTGTTATTTTGGATGATATAAATATATAGAAATTTTGAAGTACCGTAAGAATCTTGTAGACTTGTTTATTTAACTTTCTAATAGATGTGATCAAGAAATTGATGGTTTTGCTGTAAAATATGTGTCCAAATCAACTACGTGGTGTAGAGCAAAACTACTGGAATTGCTATACATGATTTTTTATGGTATAATTTTATTTTCAGTAATCCTAAAATTGTTACATAAAGAATAATTAACACATATTTGTAACCATGTTTTTGCAAGTGTATACTCTGCAAGCAGAATATTAAGTCTTGCAGTTTTTTTTTTCCTTTTCCCTCATGTGTTGTAAGTTTTAAATCATGTACCAAAAAAATTGTATCATTATTAGGCAAATTATATTGTTCCTATATATTAATATCATCAGTATTATTATTACCATTAGTGTTATTATTGCTATTATTATTACCATCTTCATAGTTATTATATATATATTATTATTATTATTATTAAATTATATTTGATTAATTTTATTATCTAAAGTATTGTGACCTAGGTTTACAGAGTATGTTTCATATCAATCTTTTAGCATTTTCCCCCCTATAGCTGCTTCTAACCACCTTCCCCTACCCCCCACAGTATAGCAAAGATGAGATCCTCAGATTCATGATCGACTGCATGATGTCCGTTGGTACCCCAAAGCCCAATGCAACTTCCCTCGCCAACGTGCTCCTGGCAGCCGATGAACGAGGGCACTACAGCCACGGCATGAACAGACTGGGTAATTTATTATAATTTATGTTTTTTCTTTTAGTGGGTGGTTTAAGAGGTTATTTAGAAAGTAAGAGGATAGGCTCTCTCTTTCTCTCTCTCTTTTTTTATCTCTTTTTTTTCTTTCTTTCTTTCTTTCTTTCTTTCTTTCTTTCCTTCTTTCCTTCTTTCTTTCCTTTTTTCTTTTGTCATTTCTTTCTTTCTTCAGGTTAAGGGGGAAGTATGTATGTTTTCTGAAAGGTCCTGTTTTCAGTTGATATTTCTAGATAATTTTTTTATGGTAGTAGCACTAACAAAGGATAAAGTAGATATGAAATAACAACAGTTAAAACTTTCTTCTTCTTTTTTATGTCTAAATAGATCTTTCTTTCTTTTTTTATGTGCTTGTTTGGTCTATTAGTCATCATTCTTTCTCTCTTTGGGTGAGAGTGAGCTTGCATCTTGCAACACTAGGATGCATAATTAATTTTGCTCATGTTGACAGTTTTGCAAAGGTTGCCAAGTATGATATTGCACACTATTTGTGGACTGTAATGATGTTGATAAGAAAAATCTACATTGATAAATAAACTAAATATGTACATACATACATTCATACATTATATATATATATATATATATATATATATATATATATATATATATATATATATATATATATATATGTATATGTATACGTATGAGGAAAAAATAGTTCTAAAAAATTCTCCCATGCCAACAATTCTTTCCTTCTTTCTTTCGTTTTTTCTTTTGTCATTTCTTTCTTTCTTCAGGTTAAGGAGGGTGTATGTATGTTTTCTGAAAGGTCCTGTTTTCAGTTGATATTTCTAGATAATTTTTTTATGGCAGTAGCACTAACAAAGGATAAAGTAGATATGAAATAACAACAGTTAAAACTTTCTTTTTTTTCATGTCTAAATAGATCTTTCTTTCTTTTTTTGTGCTTGTTTGGTCTATTAGTCATCATTCTTTCTCTCTTTGGGTGAGAGTGAGCTTGCATCTTGCAACACTAGAATGCATAATTAATTTTGCTCATGTTGACAGTTTTGCAAAGGTTGCCAAGTATGATATTGCACACTATTTCTGGACTGTAATGATGTTGATAAGACTAACTAAATATGTACATACATACATTCATACATTATATATATATATATATATATATATATATATATATATATATATATATATATTATATATATATATATATATATATATATATATATATATATACATATATACATATATATATATATATTTATGAGGTAAAAATAGTTCTAAAAAAATTTCCCATGCCAACAAAGAAAAAATAATTTTACTCTCCGGTATATATTTCAAAATCCTGAAGTGTATTTATTGATAATTGAATTCAGATATCATTGTTTGAATATTGTTTATCAAGACAAGTTTCAGAAAAAGAACATATTTTTAAAGATTATAATCTCCCTTATTGCTATTATTACTATTTTGTTTTGTTTTGTTTATTCTCTTTATTATATATTTTTTTTATTATAATCATATTTATTATTATGATCAGTAGTACAATAATCATTGTATATATTTTTATTGTTACCAATAGTAGTATTTAGGGTTAGTATTGCTATTGTTACAGGTGTTTGCATAATAATATATCTGACTCTTTTACTGAATCCTTAATTTTAATTTATGACTATCCTCATATTTTTGTTAGTAGTAATAGAAGGAAATAATGTTAATATTAATGTTCTTATTATGACTATAGTTGTTAGAACTGACTTTTTCATTATTTATTGTTATTATTATTTGCATATCATTATCATTATGTATATTAATTTATATTCTTGATTTATTTTTTATTATCACCTATTTTTCTACCATTTCATTATTATATTTCATGAAATATGATATTGTGATTTTTTTTTAATTGTACTATCATTATTCATCCATTATCAGTATCCATTTTTGATAGCTGAAAAAGGTATATGGAAATGCAATGGCTCTAAGAATATTCAAGGCTTAGAAGATTGTCAGTAATATAAGAAAAAGAAAAAAAAAACATACACGTCCTAGAGGTGCATTATATGTTTTTATTAGAATGTAGGATTCCAGATTGCCAGCTGGAAATGAATGATTCTGAATTTCATGTTCCTTCTAAATTTTTGTATTTTGTATTTTTGTTATAACTACTATGATAGTAGTAACATTAATGTACTGCTATTCCTTTTATTTTCATTATCATGATTTTGAAATTTATAATAATCTTGTTTTCCTGTCTTAAAACTCTATCCAAGATTAACTACAAATACAACTATACATACTAACCTCGTCAAAACTGTCATTACAGAAATGTACGTCAATGATGTTCAGCAGAAGATCTGTGAAGGAGGAGCCACTCCAACCATTGAGAAAGAGAGTGTGTCAACAGCTCTAGTCAACGGAAATAATGGCCTCGGTCCGGTGGTCGGGGATTTCTGCATGGAACTGGCTATCAAGAAGGCTAAGGAGACTGGCATTGGTTGGGTATGTGCTCGAGGTAAGAAAGAGAGAGAAATTTAAAGAGGGACAGTGAGGGAGAGTTTTTGGTTTGTTTTTTTAGTTGCAAAGGGATATATATTGGTTGTATATGTAGCCTTTTTCATTGTTATCATGTGACTGTGTTTCTTTGTTTGCTTAGGGGTTGGATAAGTGTTATATTTTAATCTTGATATTGATTAGGTGTTTTTGTTATATATATCTTGATGTTTGCTTATTGATTATGATGCATAGAATGAAGGCTGATATATTACTGGAATTATCCTATTGCTAATAGGTACTTGCAAATAAAAATGTGTTATTTTGCATTTGTAGAAATAGGATGTATGGATTATGTTTAATGTTGTAGCAGTTTTTTTATGCAACAAAATTAATTGTAGTATTTTACTAGTGTTTCAGGAAATGACTTTGGTGTTTTGTAGATATAGGTAATGAATTTTATTTTGAGGTTTGGCAATGTGGTCTATTGATCCGTCTACAGAGTTACTGCCTATTATCTGATTCTGATAAATGTTACTCTTTGGTTTTAGAATTTTAGAATTTTTTTAGCAAATTATTTATTGTATATATGTACCCATACTATTTTCAATTTCAGGTAGCAACCATTACGGTATTGCTGGATGGTACTCCATGAGCGCTACAAAACATGGCCTTCTGGTAAGCACTTGTTAATTTATAAATTTCTTGGTAATTCATTAAATGTGAAGTTCATAGTCTGTCATAACTTGAAGGTTTGTTGAAGGTTCATATTGAAAACCGATTTGAAGAGTAGACAGAATTAAGTCACAATAATGGCAGAAAAGAAGAATTTTGGTGAGTCATTCCACAAGATTTAAGAATGATATTGGTTCATGGATGATCATCTTTATTATTAGAAGTTTTATATCATGTAAGAAAAGAAAATATATATTATTATTATTATTATTATTATTATTATTATTATTATTCTGATGATGTATGATGCAAGTTAACTTTTCTCTAATCATTTCAGGGTATGAGTTTCACAAATACATCACCATTGGTTGCTCCAACACGTGCAAAGACAGTAAGTATAGTCTGCTTGTTTTAAAGTAATGAATCATAGTGATATTATTTTGAAGATTTTGAAGAAACATTCTTTTTGTAATTAATATTACTTTTCTTCTTCTTCACCAAAGATAAATGATAAGGGTGAGACATCTATATATTTTTTTCATTGTAGCTTCATACTGAAATGCATTTATTTTTTCATGCAGAGAAAAGCAAGTTTTCTTTGATATTTTGAAGCTAGATAACAGTAATGTAAATAAACAAAGCTCCTGTGATTTAGAATTTTAATAAGTAATAGTAATTTAAGAGAAGAGAATAAAGCTTGAAATGCTAGTTTAATGCTTGTTATAGTGTTTTACTGAATTTTCATGGCCACTTTCATGTGAGTAGTGAAATGTTTGAGTATTATCTATTTTCATTGTCAAAATTACATTTACTTTTCTTTCAATTCAACATAGTAAGCATTTGTTTGTGACAATATATAAGAATTAAGATTGGTATTAGTTTAAAGGAAAATTCTAACTTCTTGCATTTGACAGAATTAAGGCATATGATATTTTTTTTATGCCCCTAACCTTATGGTTTGTCCCTTAGCTCTTCAACACAGTAATATATAGAACTTGTCAGATTCACATAGATAACAAATAGGTCTTTCTTCCTTTTGATTTTCAACATAATTTTTATTCAGTTTTAGTTGTTGTACCACACAGATGTGTCTTCCCCAGTATGAGATCAACACCCATGAAAGCGGATAATTTGCAAATGCATCTTTTTCGGTTCTTCAGCATTGATTAGTAGGCCACAGCTTTTTGTAGACCCCCCCCCCTGTTCCCCCTGAGCTTTTTTGTTTGTAATGGAGGGATTGTACTCCTGTTTAAGGCCACCCTTCCTCCCTACCAAGAGAAGTGATTTTATATTGATTTATCCTTTTCTTGTTCTGTGTTGATTGTTTAATTAAATGAGATGAAAATCATAATAAGAAACCTTACAAATATCATGCAGTATTCTATGATTTTTGTATCTGGATGTTAGACCCTTTCAGGTGGAAAGACTGAGAGAGAAACCATGTACATTACTTTATACATATTGGTGTTTCATTACAAGCATTACCTATTTTTAACTTTGTCTTTCCTTTTGTTATAATGGGTTTCATTCATTTTTTTTATTTTTATATCTTGCTGTCTTTGTGTAGTTTTTTTTTTTTTTTTTAATGAAAATAGTGTTATGCATTGGATGACAAATTTTTCCTTACTTTGGATGAAAGATTTAAATGATTGTAAAATAGTATCAGCATACACCTAACATGATTTTTCCTTTTCCCTTTTTTTCCTCATCTCAAGGGAGCTTTGGGAACCAATCCCATATCCCTTTCTGCTCCAGCAAAAGGAGGAGATAGCTTTGTGTTGGACATGGCAACCTGTGTAGTGGCTGTGGGCAAGGCAAGTAGTTTATAGTAGAGGAGAAAGAGTTCGATAGAATACAATTGTTAGATGATGCGGATTTCAGCATAAATGTAAAGTTAATAGAATAAATTTGAGGTTTGATTTCCGGCTTTTTGACATTGCCTTAATAGATGTCAGATTTTTTTCTGATTGGAGGCAATAGATGATGCTGATGGTCATGCTTTTTATAATGATAATTACATAATCATTTACCTTAGGTGTATTATGTATATATTGAAGTGACTCAAAAAATGGCTTACAAAACAAATGAACAGCATATAAAATCCTTATTCGCTGTCACAACGATAACGCTGTCAACCTTAAGATTCCCTTCCCCAAAGATCGAAGTTGAGCGACGTAAGGAGAACCCCATACCAGAGGGCTGGGCACTGGACAAGGAAGGCCAACCCACAACCGATGCAAAGGAGGCAATGTATGGCGCTCTCATGCCCCTTGGTGGTCCTGAGATGCACTCTGGCTACAAGGGCTACGGTTTGGGCATGCTGGTGGAGATCTTCTGCGGCATTATGTCAGGTGAATGGTCCTTCTGTGAATCTCATTTGTTTTCTTGTTTTTCTTTGTACTTTTTTTTTTTCTCTCTCTCTCTCTTCTTCCCTTTTGTTTTATTATCTTTTTATCTCATTTTTATGAATTCTGTACATTATGAATACGTTTACTAATATATTTCTTTTATTTTTCCTCTTAGATTTATATTACCCCTATTTTTATCCATATATTCTACTTAAACATTTTTCCATTTTCTTGTCAGGTGGACACTATGGCCCCAATGTCCGCCGATGGATGCAGACAGACAGGCCAGCAGACTTGGGACAGTGCTTTGTGGCCATCGATCCCTCATTCTTTGCCCCTGGGTTTGAGGACCGAATGAGTGACCTCATGGGCCACTGCCGCAACATGGAACCGGTAAGTGATTGTCAGTTCAGGTGTTTAAGTTACAGTAAGGCTAATATCTTTTATCGACATTATGTACCTCGATGGGAATGATTGATCAATATTTTTGTTGTACTGATTTTTAGTACTTTCTTGTGATAAAGTAGTAATAATGCAAAAAGTTGATCTTTGTAATATCCTTGAAACAAATGTTCAATTCATGGTAATCTTGTAATGTGAATACCTTATTTCTGAAATTAGCTCTCCACCCCTTCCCTCATGTAAAAGAAAAATAAATAGATAAAAAAAAAAAAAAAAAAAAAGGAAGGAAGGATGATGACCTAAGTGCAATAGCAAAGTGAAAAGATAGTGAGAGAGCGAGAGAGAGAGAGAGAGAAAGCAAGAGAATGAGAGAACAGAGAGAGCTATAGAGAGCTAAATTTAAAGAGTATGTCTGAAATATATATGACAACCCTTTTACAGGCTGATCCCAGCAAGCCAGTCCTCGTGGCAGGAGACCCAGAACGAGCACATGTGGAGAAAGTGAAGAAAGAAGGAGGAATCACTTATCATACGAACCAGATCAAGGATTCTGTAAGTAGAAGTGACAAAGATAACAATTTTGTATCTACAGCTGTATTTTTTATGAAGTATTTGGTGTACAAAGTGAAATAGGATACATTGCATTTGAAATTGTTTACGTTTAAGTTCTTGTAATTGCAAATCTTGTCTTTGGTTATTATTGTGTGTGAATATGCTACTTGTTTCTCTTTCAAAAACACAAACACAAACTTCTTCACTCAAAATTTCATTTTCTTACACTTTCTCTTAGAGTATTTGGTGTTAGTAACATAACTTTTTAGAAATTGTTCAACTATCTGCTAATTTTTTTTAGCATCCTTGTATGAAGTGATGCTAGGAAGCGGACTCTGCCCTCCATATTAACCAGAATAAAGGCTAGATCATACAAGTAAATACGTTTTTGCACTGGCTGCAAAACACACTTTCTCTGTACTCCAGTTCTAGTTCTTTATTTCCTGTTTTGATAATATTACTTTACTCTTTGTTCTTGTTGACTTTTTAGCTTTGTCAGTACCAATGCTTTATGTAAAGCCTTGTCAGGTTTTTTTATAGAAACTCCAGGATATATGAAAGATAAATATTTTCTTTCCTTTTGTTTCTAAGATGTGTTACTTGCCCAGTCATTTGAACTTGGCAATTTTCTAAAGAACTTTCTCTTTTCCTGACCTATAAACCACTTTATGTATTCCCCTCTCATACTCTCGTATTTTATGACACATAGGATGAATTTTGGGTATTCTGCATGCTTATATGTTTTTCTTTTTTTTCCAGATTTGATTTTTTTTCGTCAATATTTTTAGCTCTGTATTTTTTTCAGAAAATATTGACATTTTGAAACTAACATACATTTTTTCATATAATAACTACAGCTTTTCTGTCTTTTCAGTGGAAGCTGGGAAAAGCTTTAGGAGTGACACCAATGAAGTCTTTGTAATAAGTAAATGAATAAATTGATAATCAAAAACATATTAGAATGCATTTATGGAGCAAGGTTCTCTTCCTTTGATATACTTTCACAGTAGTTCTTATTCTTTTATTATTTTTTAATTCTTTCTTTTTTTATGGTGCAAGAGTAAAAATATTGCTTCCTTTTGAGTTTCTGTTTTCATTTGGTTTAGGTGCTGATATCTTAGGCTGCTCTATGTATAATATGGTGTGAATATTTTTTATGCTGATTTTGTAAATGGAAATTAGTTCATTGCTGTTATGTTCTAAAAGTACTGAATATTACAGATTAAGCATTTCTGAAGATCAGATAGTCACCTTGGTCCAACATGGTACAAATGACATAAGTCAGTTTAGTCTGTATATAATCTTATCAGTGATGGTTCATGTCTTGGTAGAATAGACTGACTTGATAATAACCTGGTACATTTAGTTTCATTGCAAAGGTTGTATATGTTTTTGTCTGTATTTGTCAGGAAGATTATTTATATATGGAAATATTTTTTCAGTGTGCCTTTGTTTTATATTGCTTCCTCTTGTTTCGAGAAATGATTTTGAGGGAGAATAAAGGTGATAAAGAGAGACAGCATTCAGACTGACCAGTTTAATTAAGGAGTGGCTTCCAAGAGAGGGAACTTTTATTAAAAGAATTGCTTTGTTTATTTTATTTATTTATTATTATTTTTTTTTTTTTTTTTTTTTTTTTTTTTTTTTTTTTTTTTTTTTTTTTTTTTACTTATGAACTAAGCTATTGTTTGTCAAGCCCAGTTTTGTTGTGATTTGTCATATTTTTGAGTACAGATATAGATTGTTTAAAACTTTGTGCAAATACCTGTATAATTTTTATTGTTATGAAGAAGTATATATAAAGTGCAGAGCTACCAAAAGATTGTTACATAGTTAACAAACAAAAATAGAACAAAAAAAAACATGTATATCATTAGCAGATAATGTCTATATGAAATTTTGCTCTGTAATTAGGATCAAAGGAAATATTTAAGAACTTTGCAACATGGTGGACGGGAACACAGATATTTTAGGTTTAGGTCATTGTATAGTGAAAGGAAGAATAGAAAAATGTAGATTGTTCTATCTACATTTCTTTCAGTATGAATCCATTACATTAGACCCTCATACATCAGATTATATATTTTCTCAAATTGAGAATTGTTCATGATCTGATAGCCTTGAAATACCTTTCAGAACGTAGGACCTGAGTGAGGCTTTATCAACATGCTACCTAATAGTGTATCATATTTAGCAGTTATTTACTTTTATTAGATATGTTTTTCTTACACTGTTATACATGAAAATTAGGAGATACAAGATTTCTAGAATAAGAAGAAAAAAGTCTTATATTTCAGTGTATGTTAAAATCCAGAATCCCCCTACTTTCCATTGCAAGAGGTGTTTGCAATTGAAGTACACCTTACCGATGATATGAGATATGCACTATATGCCAAAAATGTGTTATATTTTATATAATGCTTGCATGTCCATAAATATCAATCTTTTAAAAAGTATTTTTTTTTT